CAGTCGTGCTGATACTAATTTGTTGGTATTCGTTTGCTTATCCAGTGAAAGATAATGAAGAATTAAGAGATACTGTGAAGGGCAGGATTATAGGACATAACTCTATGCCTTGAAAACAAATGACACTGATTACACAAAACATGGATCAAATGCTAGAATACCTTGGAACATGGATGAACACATTTAAGGCCTATGGAATCTATTTTGCCTTTTTCCAGAACTTTATCATTGAAAGCCTGACGCAATAGTAATATAATCAGAACTAAGGTATTCAACATCTGCAAATTTGTTTTGATGTCACAATTGAACTCAAAAACCTGCACACCAAATACATTTCTTGTTGCCCTCCTATTGGGCTTCTTCATTTTAGTCATATATTTTGGGACAAGAGAGATTATTATTGCTGTTGAATAACAGGAAGCCAAATACTATTGAACTGCAAATCCCCAGAAATCTATCAATAAGTATTGAATTATCTTCTCCTGCTTAAGATTCTTTTATAATCTTACCCTCCTTTTGGGGTAAAATAATTGTTCAGGTGTCTATGCTGATAAGCTTTAGATTATAGCAAAATGTACTCTTGCTTTTCCATCATTCTACGACGTTCAAAAATTCTGTAACTGAATAAGCTAGGCAATTCAACATAAAACCAGCTTTTATAAAGACACTGAACACAAATGCAATAGCTCTTCCTAGTCTCACAGTCCCTTTGCTAACAGTACTGTAATGTGAATGAAACTATTTTCACTCAGTGTTCTTACAAGCCTTTTGGGCAGAGACATTTGTCAGACTGTAACTCTTTACTTTTATCAGTGAAGGCCTTCCGATTTCTTACCCTGGCAAAGATATTAGAAACAGTCACCAGTACAGTATGTTGCAACAGACTTAGCAAAGGTCACAAAGAGGAACTGTCAATTAGCTTCCCTCTTGTCTACCGCAATTGTCCTGGGGATGAATTGTTGATACATGGATATATCCATTTTGTTTTCCTAGCAGTGGTACAGAAGTTGTTTGCTTTCTTTTGCAACTTTCCAGTCTGGTCTACACTTTTCAGGGTGTTTCTAATAGTCACCCATCCATCTATGAACCAGATCCATGCCCATTTAAGTTTTCAAGCTCAGTCAGGGCTACCTAGATTCATGGTACAACTTGGGGTGGTACTTGAAAAAAGAAATAAGCCTGATGTGGGTGGAGAAAAAGAAATGTATCCAACACCCTCAATGCAGTTCCCTGTTGTGCTGTACTTTTATATACTCAGTAAAGCCTCTGGTTCCATCCTTTGTTTTAAAATTTTAATTTTTGCATGGTAAGTTTTATAAATGCAGAGTATTTTACATTTGAATGCGTTTCAAAGGTTGTACAGTCCCTTTTTGCCCCCATTTCTCTTTCAACCAATAAGCTGGCTTAGAAACAGAAGAATAAAAAATAATTTATTAAGAACGAGGGCATGCCATAAGAAGAACATTTACGACCTGTGAGGCAAGAACTATAGGGCCTAAACCTCAGGTGCAAACTCTCCCTGTGTTAGGTGCTTAAGGCTGTGTGTGTCCAGGGCTTTAGGAGGAGGCAAAAGTGAATAACATACAGGCAGTCCTAGGTTAAGAACACTTGACTTAAGCACAGCTCCCAGATATGACGGGCTGCCTATTACACAAAATGGTGGACACCATTCTCCTTCCTGAAGCTGATGAAGCACTGAAGCTGTGCAATGCTTGTAGGAACCGCTGAAAACAAGCTGTATATTAAAAAGATGCAGCTTCAGCACTTTGTCAGCTCAAGGAAGGAGAATACCATCTGCCATTTTTATTAATAGGCAGTCCGTCGTATCTAGGAGCTGTGCTTAAGTTTATAAGTATGAGTTCCAATTTAAATACAAATTTGAGTTAAAGATTTAGGGGACAGAATTCATTCTTAACCCATGGACAGCCTGTGTGCATTTGTAATTTGGCTCAGGACAATTATTACATGCCCTTAGATAATAGAGTGGTACTTTGTTTCCTACACTTCAGTTCAAATGCAGCCATTAATCTGAGGTCTCTTTGCTCTGAGACTGAACTTGGTTCAATTAGACCCTAGTATGTTGTCCAAAACACTAAAACCAAGGCATGTGCATGAGCACAAAACTAATGAGGACTGAAGAAATGTCCAGCATGAAACACAGGAATGTAACCTGAAATAGTCTGATAAGAAAACATGACCTGAAATCATGGTGGTTACATGACTAAGAGCGATAACTTAACAGCCAAGACTGTGCACGATCTAGAATTCTGGATTTGTACAGAAATTCAACTCTGTCCTCAATGCTCACAGATGCAAATTCGATACAACAGACTATTTGCAACTGTTCTCTATTGCTATAAGAAGAGCATTACATTGATCCATTTATCCACAGAGGACTGCCACAGTCATACAAGGAACATGAATTAGGGCATGTAATAATACAAAAACAGGAGCTGCAATATTACACTGGGAGCAAGGGACCTTATGATCAAAATAACTTTCCTTCATTTTTCAAAGGCCATACAAGTCTTAAACAGGATGCAAAACCAGTTTTCAAAGGATGCTGGTGGTAAGCCATGTATCTTGGGGTTAGCTGCTAAAGGATGCTAAGCCTGTACAGCTGTTGGCTCAGCACATTAAACACACTCAACCTCCTGAAATGTCTTTTCAAGAGACTACCGTAAAGCAGACTAATCACACATAATGCAACTGAGGAATGTAGGCCAATCATTGAGCTTCCCTCTCCCTACCTCAACCCCAGAAAAAAAAAATTGAGGAGCCTAGGAACCCCTTTAGTCTGAGTCACGTTTAGGGTAACCAGTTTGTACTGCTAAAGAGACAGAGTGCTAGCTTGGAAATGATCCCGCTGCCCTCTTGCACAATTTACAGTTGCTGGACACAGGCAATTAATTGATCCGTTTCTGTGATGAAATAAATAAATCCTGTGTTACACTAAAATAGTATGCATGCTGCCTGTGAAATATATTATATGTTCCTCTCTAAGGTCATTCTCAACTCATTCCAGTTTATTAAAAAAAAAAGAGTAAAAAGAAAAAAAAGTGTGTGTGGGGGGGAGAGCTACCATTCTGTGATCACTGACAGATGATCACAATTTGCTTTTTGGCTGCATTCAGCAGTGAAATTCCTGGAGTCCAGCTGTCTCATATTCCCCCTGCAGTTACGAGAAATAATTACAGCAGGTTTGCTGTGTTTAGAGAGGGTTATATTACGTTAGAAAATATTATACATGATAGAGAAGCTCTATGGACAGATAGCCCCCCCTCTTAATGAAACCATTTCCAGTTTTGTAATGGCTAAATAAGCCAGACTTTTCATAACTATGTAACAGTCTGCAGGTTCTCTTTAAATGAACTGCCTGAGTGCATGCTGTTGATTTTCCATTTTTAAACAAAACTATTCCAGGTCTACTTTTCTGATCCATAACACATGCCATATCCATACCTCCTCCCTCTCCAATGACTTCCATTATTCTAGCTAGGAATTCTGCAGGAAGGTTTCCGTTTCTGACCTTGTCTTTTATGAGTCCCAGGGGAATGATGCTCACCTCTTCTTTGCCTGGGGATGATATGAGTAGCAACTGCGTCTTTCATCCCTTCCTATTCTTATTTTCCCAAGGAAGAAGGTAGTCAATGGAGGGAGCAGCCTGGTCTCATAAGAGGTTTAGAGGTCCTTCAAAAGGCAGGCTTAGAAGCTGACAAGTACAAATCTTTGCTCGTGATTTGTAGCTGCTCCTTTTCCTCAAAGGATCCTTTCCATCGGTAGCCACTCAAATTCTAGGAATAAAAAGGTTTCTTCCTAAAGATCAGGATCCAGTGCCATGGGTTTATGATTGATTATATAGGACTATCAGATCTGTACTGCAGAACTCTGGATGGCCACTAGACAATAGCAATGGGTTGGCGTTTTCTGAATTTGCCTGCTGCCATCTAATAGTCTTCCAGATGTTTTCAACACAAGGTGGCAACCTTAATCTTAAGCTCCTTTTCCCATTAGAACATTAAACACAAAACATTTTATTGGATGACCAAAATCAAAATGATAAGATTGGATAACTAGCAAAAATGAATAGAACCTGCATTATTCCTGCCTTTTAAGATGAGGATTATTTTGTCTACATATGCAGTGAAAGTTTGGAAGTACTGGAGAGGAGAAGTGGCAGAGCATGAATGTTTTACAAGCAGAAGATCTATGTTCTGTTCCTGAATTCTTGAGAGATGTCCTATGCAGCTGCTACCAGTTAAGATGGATCCATTACCAGTTAAGATGGATTCATAATTATCTAATTATATGAAGCAACTTCTCCAATGCTTCATAAACAAGGAGAGTTAATGAGAATCCCTAGCCCTAAGGCAAAATCACTCTACCAATGTGGATTCTCTTGAAAATTATAGTTTTGTTATGAAAATATTGATCTATTCTACATATTTAGTATAAAGATAAATAAAGTATGCAAACTGATAAAAAGATTGCGATTAGAATATAAAAAAGGCTTCTCATAGTGGTGGTATGATGACAATGGCATGAAGAAACTGTATCCCACTAGGAGATATATTCTTAAATCCTACCCACCCAACTTGTTCTTACTATTATAACCCACCCGTTATAAAATTAATTCATCTTCCTGGTTAGTCATGAAACTGAAAGAAGTAATTAAATTGCAATGAGTAATTTAATTTCTTATTGTAGCCATTAAACGGTATATTATTTCCTCTGTGAGGATGCCTCCAGGATATCGCCATCTCTCCCCCCCCCCAAATAATCAACAACCAGCAGCACTCCTTTTCATAGTATTTTTGTATCACAGACCTATTAGAGAATGTCCATCTTAATATAAAGATGGAACAGGATCAGTTCTCATTTCCAAAGTGGAGTAAATTAGCAACCATCAGCTGAGTCTTGTTAAAAGAATATAGACTTAACTCCAACTATGGGCCTGAACCCAACAAGTTTAATCGTAAAGGACTGAGATTCATACTTACTTTCAGAGAATATGCCAAGGCAATGAAGCCCAAACAGCAGAAATTGAGGTATACAAAGTTGAAGATGGACCAGAGATAATAATCATTCACTTCAGTGGTGTCTGGATAGATTTCAATTACAGCAGTGGGATTAGTCATCGTTTTCTTCTCCACGGAGTGTTTGCATTGCACCGGTGGTCTCAGGCTGTCCCCTTTGCAGGTCTTGTTCTCCATCAGGCACACAGCAGAAGAGGGAGACAGCACAGGGGACCCTTGCTGTATGGGGGGTGTCTTGGAGATGCAGGCAAAGCACCCCTGCTGGGGTACATGAGGGGGTCTTCGAGTCCAGAAAGCCCCGTCAAGGGGACATGGAGGGCCCAAGGGGGGTTCCTGTGGTCTCTCCGTGATGGCAACCCCCAGTTTACACAAGTATATCCAAGGAAAGTATGTTCCCCTGAGAATGAGAGTGATGGAGAAAGTGGGGAGGGTCAGGAAGGGAAAAGATGTGAGCGATTAAAAACAAAATACCCCGGGGGGGGGGGATGCAGGACATCAGAAATAGAAAAGAGGTAGTGGAAAAGACAAGAAACAGCAGGAAAAAGAAGTAAGAAAAAGAGGGATTTCCAGGCAAGGAGAAAGGAGAAAAGAGAGGATCCTGTGTAAACACATGTACCACAAAGGAGTATTCTCTAGCAGACAGAGCAGTCATTAATGTATGCAGCAGTGTTAACAGTTCCTGGATTCCCTGCAGCTGGGTGTCCCAGCTCCGCAGTAGGCTTGGCTTGCCCTCCCCTGCTTCCCACACAAAACGGCCTCGGAGTTCATTAATTCCCTGGGAAAGGCCAGGAGCTTGACACACCGTCACATGCCTTCCCCAGCCCTCTCTTTCTCTCCCCCACTGCTTGGTTGGCTTCCTGTTCCATTTCCCCCTGATAAAAGTCCTTTGCAGTCGTATCGGATAAAAACAACAGCAATTCTCTCATCAGTCACTCCTGTAACATCATCCCCATCCCCATCTAGAAACTGGACAAAGGGAAGAACACTTCCAAAGAGGAGAGAGCGTGGACTCGGGGTGAAAATGACTCTCTCTCTCTGCCACGAGACTCTAGTCTCTCCCCTCCCCCCTTCTCATCCACTCTGCCCATCTCTTCCGCGGGACTCTGCTGTCCCGCGTCGGCATCAGGATCGAAGCAGCCCGGCCGACTGGGCGACGAAAGCCAAACCGTTCCTGGAACTGACTGCACAGCTGCGACAGAAAAACCCGGCCTCCCAAAGGCTTTTTTTCCCCCCCCTGCTCGGTCTCTGCCCATTTTGCTGAGCATTTCATCGCGGCTACATTTCGGGTTGACTTTCCCGTCCTCCCCCTCTTCACCTGTCAGCAGTTTTCCCCTTTGGACGGCGGCGGCGTCGCGCAGTCGGGGGTGGCGAGGAAGAAAGGAGGAAGAGGAGGAGAAAAAAAAAGCAGAGGCGGGGGTGGTGGTGTTTAAGAGTGAAAGAAGCGCGCCTTCTCTCGCCGGCTCCTCTCCTATCCCAACGGCTTTGCAATTACGAAACGGAGCCTGCCCGTAGACCCACCGGCACCGGAGCCGTCCATCCGTAGAGCAGGGCGAGCGGATACTTACGGGGAGGGAGGGAGGCGGGCAGTTATGCTGCATCTCCAGCTCAACACCGCCACGGTCTCTTCTTTAGCAACTGGAGTTAGTGGAGGCGCTAAAAGGGGAAGGAGGGGCGGGCGGGGAAAGAGGTCAAACGGTCCCGCTCGGCCCAAGCGGGGCAAGGCGTGCGCGCACCCGTTCCCAAGACCCTGGAGGCACTCAAATTTCCTTTTCACCTCGCCGAGCCCGCTCTTTCTACGAGTGCGCGGGTTTCTCTCCCGCTGCGCCTGCCCTCTCGGCTCCAAGCGCGCAATACGCGCGTGCTCCCTCTCTCTCTCTCTCTCTCGCACACACACACACACACACACGGCAACCTTTTTTTCGGGGCGAGGGGGAATTCCACAGTTGTCAAGTTCCCCCTCCCCCCCACACACACAACCTACCTGCTGGAAACGTAAGCCTCTCCCGCACCTGCCAATGTGACAGCGCAGGCATCTCTGCAACCGGGCTTTTGGCGTCGATCAGAGAGGGTTTTTGAAAAGCTGACAAAAGGCCGGTGGGGTCAATCTGAGGCTTGCCCTTGGAGCAACACGTGGCTAATTATCACCGGAAAAGGGTTAGCCGCTCCCGATCGCCATTTGCGACCTCTTTAGTGAGGGGCTGGGTGGTGGGGAGGGGAAGAAACTCCAAGTGAAGCCGGGAGGAACAACAGGGCGCCGAAGGGAAAGAAGCGCTCCTCGTGGTCCGAGTCAGGGAAAATGGATAGGAATCGGATCAATACTGGCTCCAGGCTGTGTAAGCACGCGCATGTACAGCCACAGCTTGAATATCAACAGCTCCCCTCCATTGTTTACATTTTTATTGAATTGAGTGTTGTCTTCTTTACTGCTTTGGATGAAAAAAGTTCTGAAGAATTTGAAAGGTGTTGTGACCTTGATGAGTTCTCTAATAAATGTGGTGGGATACACTGGATTCAACAGGCTGTCTCTGCGTTCCACTGTTAATAAATAATGAAACGGAGCGAAAATTGCTCTGATCAACAGGAACTAGGAAAACACAATAGGCCTTGTAGATCAGGGGTTCCCAATCCCTGGTCCCGTGGACTAGTACTGAGCCACGGCATGCCAGGACTGGTCTGCACAAACAAGCAATGCCCATCCACAAGATGCAGGCAGCATACAAAACATGCACCCTCCGGTCCATGGAAAAACCTCTCTCCATGGAACCAGTCCCTGGTGCCCCAAAGGTTGGGGACCTCTGTTGTAGATGATTCCAGCAGATGTGTAGTATTATAGTCTCTAGTTGGCATATGAAAAGGTATCTAGAACAAAACCAAAGAGCTCTCTTCCCACAATACTCTTTAAGTCCGGCCTCCCAGAGGGCATAATGCTCTTATTTTAGTTCCTAAATTGTTAGATTACAGCTTTTACAAAAGTTTGCAGAAACAATACCTTTTATAAGAGATAGCTACCATTATACATAAGTAGAATTATCTAGACATCTTTAAATTGCATTTTATTTTCTCATCACGATAGACACTAATATAGCAAAGTTTCTTAAACAGTAAAATATATTCATTAGGTAATGAACCAATGAAGCTCTTGCTTATAAAGGTGACCCAGAACCTGTTCAATTCGTTTTTCATCTAATATTCATAAAAAATTGTCATTTGACGTTCGAACAATTGGAGAGGAGTAATGTCAGTTTCAAAATACTGTTATTTGTAATAGAAATACAATTATCATACTGCATTTTTATTAAGCCATCAAATTGGTATTTCTGTAATCTAAAAAGAAAATGAAATTGTCAAAATAGGGTTTCTGGAATGCAATGGGAGTTTCATAGATCTGGATAGGAAGAAAAATTTGCAGAGTAAAAGCAGAGTAACTTATTTTCTTAAATTCTGCTTGGTTTACATTATTTTTCTGATATGAACTGCCAGGAGTCTTGCAGATTGTCGTGACACATGAACAGGCTGGGATCACACAAGATACTAAATCACAAAAACATGTAATGCTTTTAGTTGGTTAAGAGTGAGTTTTGCTTCTTTCATTTTTTCACATACAAATTACCTATTTAAGCATATCCTTTTATTAGTAAGACTTTCATTTAAAAGTGCTTAAAATTAAGATTTAGGACAGAGCTGCACAATCTATTCATGGTTTGAAAAGGCAAGAGTCTGTAATGAACAAAGTAATTGTGGCTTGTTGAGTCAATTCATTTTTTTTACCTTTGTTTCCTCCAGTATCAAACAAACAAAAACCCAATTTTTTTAATAAAAAATTATTAAATCTGGATTCTAAATTCATTGCAACAAGCCAAGCATAAAACAAATCTTGGTTTCAAAAATAAATCATTTTTTTCTGGGAATGGGTTTATATATGATAAAACAATAACAAACAAATACAATATAATTTGGTATGATATATGAATCAGGTCAGTGTTCACACTGAATCATGTACTCCCTTTAAAATTTTTCCAGCCTACTTTTTAAAGAATAACATGATAGTATGTGGTGGTGAAAACTGTTTATTTTTAATTTATTTTATTACTAGTTGAGTAGAGAACAGCTATGAAACAGATTGTATCTTTTGAACAGGCAAGAACATAATAGCATTTCACAAAGTAGAGAAAACAAGCAAGAAAATGCTCCAAGCCACCAGGGGAATGACAATGAACTACTAATCCAGCAGTGCAATCTGCATGTCAAATTTATTAAATCAATTTCCAATAAGATGTGGTGGACTTTATTCTTCTCGAGAATGTGGGATCTGCTATACAACAGCTTTCTCCTACTTGACATAATGCAGGGGTGTCAAACTGCCAGCCCGCGGGCCGGACGCGTCATCCAGAAGCTGCGCCCACCCCATTGCCAGCAATGGCAAAACCGTCCCGATACATTGCACGATGTCATGTGACATCGTGAGTTTGACATGTCTGACATAATGGCTTAGACCAGGCATGTCAAACTCGCGACGTCATCAACGTATCGGGCCGGTTTCGCCATTGCCGGCAATGGGGTGGGCACAGCTTCCACGTGATGCGTCCGGCCCATGGGCCGGCAGTTTGACACCCCTGGCTTAGACTTCCAATATCATAATCTGTATGGTCAAAATTTTGGTAATGGCACTGGAGATACTTTTACTCATCCAACATTAACTGCTGCCATAAATTGCAATGTGTAACACTGCCAGACTATCAACTAGTCCAGATCAGTTTTGAATGTCTGATATATTTTATTATGGAGGTGCCATTCAATCCCACATTTGCACCAAATAAGACCCTTTAAGACCCTTATACAAAATCAGGGTACTATTGGCTTTATCTGAAACAACCCTGTTTTAATCTAAATCTCTTAATCTCTCTTGTCCATGGCTTCTCAAATATTATGAAACATTTCAAATGAACTCTTTGTTCACAGCCTAGCATTAACAATGGCGCAGCTCTGTAATCTATCAAGTCTCATTTGCTCTAAATAGTTGATCATATGACTTCTCAAGTTCCAAACAAAACCCAGTTCAGAAACAGCTCCTTTTGTGAACACCCGATATAGAAATCTATGCAAAAAGAATTTGGATACTACTTCTTCAAAACTAACTTGAATCAAAATGTCTCATAAGTTTTATGTGAAATATTTTTTGGGAAAAGTCACATAACTCTGTTCTCATATCTCAAAAAGAAACTAGGAATTACAAAAGGTTTGGAAAACTGAAGAGCAAAATATTCACAAAGAACATACTACCTGAGTAGGGGAAACTTAGGCTAAATGGCAATTTAACATTTATCTTTACTTTCACTTTATCTTTTACCTTCCCTATTACAATGGCTGTTTCCCCAAGTATTCATTACTAACCATAACCATGTTTTATAAAATGTGTTAGTTCAGAACTGCTCTGTCACATTCCACACTTCCTA